TTTTGTAAAGGTCTTTCAAGAACACATGAGGCAACCCGCATCCATCTCAAAGGAAGAGTGTGAGTGTGAGTGTGTGTGAGAGAGAAAGAGAGGAGGGGGGTATGTTGGCAGAGTAGAGTAGACGTGGTATTTTGAAAACACGGTCATAAACTTACCCTACCTGAAATAATCCATTTTACAGAAGATCTCTTTGTTTTTGATGTAGCAGCTGCTGTGCTGACGTAGCGACGTCCTGCAGACAGAACACTCGAGACAGCGCACGTGCCATATGAGGTTGTTCACCTGCAGAGAGACAACGTGCATGTCAAACACACTGATGATGGATCCAAGCGTTAAGGACGCACAGGGTGTCTCTGGTGCTGAGTTTCTTCATAATATACGACAAAAGAAAATCATCAACACTGCATAATGTCTAATTAGCATATATTTAGTCAAGATATTATCACAAAAGTTGCATATCTTAAAGTGATGCACAATTATGAGTTTAGAGATGACACAATATATTTAAATATGCAATGTCTAATTAAGCATACTCAAGATATTATTACCTTGGAAATATCACGAAAGTTGCATATCTTACAGTGATGCACAATTATGAGTTTAGTGATGGCACAATATATTTAAATATTCAATGTTAGTATTGCTTAGATCATATTTTACTTTCTTGTGTTTTCTGATATAGCAACACAGTATTTTATTGGTGTTTTGCTTAAAAATAGCATGTTAAAGGACAGTATTCATTTTACTAAAACGCTGGCAAATATATTCTGCTGAAATGCAATCTTAATAATTTCTAAATATCGAACCCAGAACATGCTGCTTAGGCCGGAGATAATTCTTTCTGGCACTGGGTGTAATATTTTCGTTCAAGAGTAATTATGAACGCCTTTTAGCAGAATTAAGAAAAAATAATACTTGCCAGGCGTTGAAAACAAGTGACCAATTTGTAAATGACGACTGAAAAATGATTGAAATCATTTTTTAAAGTTTTACAAATTTATGTCAACAGAGCTGCCCTTTTAATATGTTTCAAAAATATTATTATCTAAAATGAGCCCGATATTTTTGGCGAGAGAGATCATAAAGCCTGTCCCATAATACGCTGTTCGAAAGATTCTAAATTAAATTCTGAAATGCAATAATGTTAATTCTAGAACTTAATTGTATTATATTATAATATTGTTATTTTTTTATGTCATCTACAACATATACGTTTGTAAGCATTTAATTAAAGCAAACATATATATTTACAGGCCTACTTTTAATTACAGCATCGTCCAGTTGGTAAATAGCCCAGCAATGCAGCATGCATGATATTTTACACAAGATAAAGACTGCTAATCATTTTAGAAGAATGCTGATACAATTCAGTTGAATCCTATTATGGGAGATCACAAATTATTATATCCCATAATTATTCAAAATAGTTTGCAAAAATATTTTTCATGTGTGTTTTTCAGTTTGTATTAATACATTTAAAACAATTATTATAGATGATATCCTATAGGCCTGCACTTCGACATAACAACAGAAGTTATCTCACACTTCCTGACAAACACACCCATTTGCGCGCGAGTGAGGAATGTTTTGGAATGGAAGCACGCGGGCGCACGCAACTAGACATGGTTGCAGGAAACAAATCAAAACATCCCTGTTGAATCTGCTAAAACCCCGTGTATCACTTTTTGATAACAAATAAATAAATACATTGCAGATAACAGCAGTTAAATTTGGATGTAATATTTAAATGTGTATGCATTTCACGTATATATTTTACCTTTAACAATATGATAACAAAGTGTTTCGTTAAGCCATAAATAAGGCTATATTGGGACACGTTTCTGTGTTTTTTGTTTGGATATATGTAGCCTATCTGTACCTACTTTTTATTTAGTGCAATTATTCTTATTAAAATAATAAAGTAAGGACTCCTAACGTTATAGCCTATGGCCTTCTGTTAATTCCAGGCCTATCAGTGCAAAAATACAACAGGCCTGTCCAAAACAAAACAGGACACAAAATGTTTGCTAATGCCATAGTAAGAAATACAATGCTAAACAAATAAACAAGACGAGAATATATTACTTGTTGTGACCACACATCGCGTCAGCCTGTTTAAATCTAAAGACTTAAGGTCAGCCTCTCACCTTCAGCATGTATCTGTCCAGGATCTCCTGACCGCAGCTGGCGCACACGTTCTTCCCGTCTGACGGCACCGAGCTGGCGGTGGAGATCGGCGAGCACACGGAAGGGCTGGAGGGGCTGCTGGGTGGGGAGTGGGTTTCCTCCGGCTCCATGTTGGACCGCTGGGACTCTCCGTCCGAGTGAGACTGCAAGAGGGCATCAGCACAGCTCAGTAACACACACACAGTCATCCCCACAGGCTGTTTGCAGTCAAAATGCAGTCGATATCAATCAATGCGCGTAGGCTATATCAGAAATGTAAAATATAATGAATCCTATCTTCAACGTGCAGCGGATGCACCCAGACCAAGGTGTCACCAATGTGCAATAAGTGCACCAAGTGACATTTTAAAAGCATTAATAGGCAATAAAGCTCTCACCATTGGCGCGTGGTTAGAGTCCACACTGCAGCGCGAGGCTCCCGGTGTACTTTGATGCTCGGTGGAGATCACCTATAAGACAACGTTCAGTAAACGGGAAGTCTTCATCACTTTAACGGTCTCATCCTCAGCTGGGAAATCCTCGGGAGACATTTGCACACAGGCACAGCTCTTCAGGGCTAGTCCTATATAAAGTGGTCCTGACAATAAACCCCGGTTAAAATAGTTACAAGGGCCCCCGCAACAAAAGGCACATTTTAATGAAGCTATTTCAATTTGGATTGATTTTTCCCTGCCCTTAACCCGTGCCTCTCAGAATAATAGTATTTTCTTCGCAATCCAGGACACGAAGAGTGGTGGGGGGAAAAACTACCTGTAATTACAAATAGCTTGAAACGCTGTGGATAAGAGGGACCCGGAGTGTCAATTTCAACTGTCAATCAGAGAAAGGCAACGGGTCACCCAAAGAATTGCAAATTTGATTTGTAATGGCTGTAATTAAAATCCAATTCTTCTCTGGCGAATTGGCACCGCTCGAGAGGCTCGCGGACCGCAAATCACGCTATTCATAACAGAGAGGCGCGTGCCTCTTCACAGCGGCTGGCGCGTGCAGCTGATCTCAGTACACAAGCAGTGATTCTTATGACATCACAGAGAGACAAAACAAAACTAACGCACAATGCTGCGGGCTGCAAATAAACTGCATGCATTTGCAACAACAGATAGATCCACTGAGCAATGAGAAAATAAGAAGAAATCGTTTGGTGAATCAAAATGGTTTCATATTGAGGTTAGACCAAATATCACTATTTTTAAGCCAGCACATACAAAGCTGATTTAGTCTAAACCAAACAGAAGGCCCACACTGCATTAGTGGGGTATCAATGAAACGTTTACGCACAAAGTTGTCACTCAGTCGTGTCCTAAGTGTTAGTACCTGCTTCTTGGGAATTCCTTCGGACAAAATTTTGTTTCCCTCTGAAAGAGGGGACAAAAGTTCATTTTTCCAGTACATGAACCCCTGCAGTCTCACAGCGTACAGTGTATCCAAACTCGGAGCGTGGAATCAGGAGAAGGCTCGGCGATGGGCGTCAAAACTTGAACCATCCGTATGGGTTCGGGTGTAATGGGCACACCGTTTTGTTTTTGACGCGAAATGCTCTGTGTCTGTGCGCGACGATCTGCCGCTGTCACACACTACTGAAGTTATGGAGCTTTGCAGAGGCGAGGAGTTGTTGGTGCTCCTCGGAGAGCCTTATTTAGAACAGAAATAGTTCCTTTCCCCGTTTTCCCACTCTCTCCACTTTATCGAAGGAGTCTGGCTACAGGAAGTGAATGAAATGAAGGGGCTGGCAGCTTTTACTCCAAGGCTTCATAGGTGCAGGGAGGCTGCATGGCTGCTATAGTGGACGGCAGCGCAGAGAACGAGAGTGCAGTGAAAGTTTGTGCCGCTCTGGCATGCCTTATAGTTAAAGAAGGGGGAGGGTGAGAAAGAGTTTCATATGCGTGAGAAGGGTGGACACACTTTGGAGCAGTTATGACAGAAACTTACTCAAACTCTGCTGTCGAATGTGTGATATCTCAGACATTTATAGCTGCTGCCAGAGGAAAAAATGTAAATTATAGTTATTCATATAATTGCCATTTACTTGCTACTGGACATATACAATGGCTGTATAGGTTGTAACGCAATAATTAACCGGAATACAGACCTTTTTATATACACAGCGTCTCCATATAAATATATATATATATATATATATTCAGGCTTAGAATCTAAACTACAACACAAAAAATAATGATGATGCCTGAAAAATACATTTAAAAAATCCTAATACATTTACTTAAATCCCATGTTGCAAAATAATCGTTATTTAATTCATTAGAGTGGTGTATTTAACTGCTTCAATGCTTATTATCATCATGATTCAAGGCTTAATTTTTTACATTCAAATATGTTTTCGTTATAACATTCATTTCAAATATTTAAATTGTGTACCATTAAAGTTAATGAGTACAATAATTAGCAAGGCAGAAAAACGAAAGTACTAAATGGCGTAATTTAAGGATTAACAAAAAGGGTTTTTACCCATGGGTTTATTGTGACACCATTGTTTAAGGATATATTATGGGCAGGAAGAAAAATATTTTTTTATTTTTTTAATGTTGTGAGGGTAGGGCTGAGGCAGAATAAACTAAAACTCACCAAGTGTTTTAACGAAGGGAAGCCTGGTGATTGCAGGTTCCGTGTGATCAGCCCACACACAGCTTTACATCGACGCGTCAATCAGGCTGCTATCTACAAGGATCCAGCAATTATCTGTAAATCTATAATGCAGAAATTATCCCATCAAAATAAACCAAGCCAAAAACAGTTAAGAAATGTCTTCATCATTTCTGAGGAGAACTGGATTTGAAAGATGTAATCAATTGAAATTATAATTGAACGGATAGGCCTTTTATTGCAAACAGATAAAAACACACAATACAAAGAAAACGGTTGATCAGAAATTGCTGCAGGTTGATTTTACGAGAAAAAAATGGCATGTCAAGAGGTAGGATTTTGATGCTCTCTTATCTCAACTTGTACAATTAATCGGCCGATTTCCATCCCTCTTGCAATGTTATTTATCCACAGAAGTTTTCATCTTAAACTTATTAAAAATGGTTCTGCAAATTTGGTTTGCAAATTCTTTCTTCTCACAAACTTAATTATGCTATATTTCGCCAACATATTGTGTCCATTTTTCTTTACCCTCTTTTCACCTTAAGGAGAATTGTAACACCTGATGGAAAATACAACTTGGATCTCAACAAAAGTTTGCTCCATGTAAACACAGAAATCCATAACAAACGTCACATTTGAAAATACAAAATATTAAAACGGCACAATTTGATAGAATGCAAATGAACAAAACAGTCAGTATCCATCAGGTCTGGGGAAATCTGGGACTCTAAGCTGAACGCCATTAAGCATGATCAGTTATTACAGAAAGCATTGGTACATTTGTCAGTACTCGTGGTAATCTCTACAATGTTTTTTTTATATTTCTGTCATAGTCCTGAACTGCATTTTTTAAAACCATGCTGGATTAATGGTTTAAAATGGTAGTCCACAAACGGTTCTCATTAATGAGATGCAGATGTTTTCCTCCCAAATTCCTTACAAAAACAATTGGACTATTCCAGCAAAAGCATGTGGACGAGAGCATTGTAATGTTATTGACTAAACACAAAAATGGCATAAAACAACAGGCTGCAGATGTTATATTTATTAGCCTTTAATAGGAATATTAAAGGGAACTTCCAACAAAAATCTACAGAAAAGAAACAAAGTCAGTAAAAAAGAGTTTGAATACAGTCTTACAAAATTGAAAAAAAAGCAAACTATTAGGAAAAGAGCAATGTCACACACAATACTGCAACACACCGCGTTGCTGAGTGGCTTACTATTCAAACTCCAAGGATACAAACCTGTTACAAATATTTGCATGTCTTCCTCTTCATTGAAGTCTTGATTAAAGAAAATTGTATTTCACCTTTAAATAATCTCTCTGAAAGTAAAAACATGTCAAAACCAATAAGAGAATCAGCATTTAGACTCTTTTATAATAAGATCATTTTTCTTTTCTGGCAGCTCTGGGTCACATGACTCACAGCTGCCGATTCAAATCTCTGCCAAAGCGAGAACGCAGACGTATAAGATCCCACCTGCACATCTGTCATGTATGGGGCATATGTTAAGAGTAAATAATAACTGTAAAATAACTGAAAACACTTTTGGTACTTGTCCGTGATTGCTGTGATTACTCCCAAAGAGTTCTTGGTTCTCAAAGTATTTTCAAAACCTTTCATAGGCTGTGTATAGTCTTTAGAGTATCTGGTGTGGAGTCAGTTTGTGTGTAGATGGGGGCTGAAGTGTGTCGACGGAGTGTGGGGGGGGGGATCTCCAGAATGAGTGGGATGGGTCATCTCCTAAACCTGCGGAAGGGCCTGCTCTGGTTGTTGTGTGATTTAGAGTAGGGCTCCCAGCGTTTCCTCTCTGGCGGTTTGTTGTAAACGTAGGCCGACGGGCCCGAGTAGTCATCCTCCGGATTCTCGTCCATCATCTGGAGCTTGGCCTCGATGGCACGGATCTTAGCACTCGTACTAGAGGTAAAACACAAAAATAGAAAAAAGAGGAGAGAGAGAGAGAGAGGAGATGTTAGCTGCGAGGCTGAGGGGAAAATACCAGAGCGGGAGCTGAGGGCCGGACTGAGTGGTGGACAGATCTTGGCTCTCGGCTGAGGGGAAAATGAGAGGAGGTATTAGCACTCCTAGGAGAGGGAGGGACAGATGCAGGGGGGGGGGGGGGGGGGGGGGGGGGGGGGGGGGGGAGCACAAGCAAGAGATTACCAGTTGTGCTAAGAGATGGAGGAAAACTTGTATCTCAACGGTGGAACAGAATTTTGAGGAGCAAGAGAGAAAGATTACAGAGCAAGGGAGAAGAAGAGAGACTGAGGGAAGCAGGGTAAATAAAAAGGAGTCTAGAGGGAGGCATCAGGGGGAAAAGGGGGAAAGAGTGTTTATAGTTCCTCTCCTGCGAAGTGAGGAGTGAGGGATTTTGAAGTTTACAATAGAACTGGAGTGTGGAGACTTTTTAAACGAGTATCTTTATAGCTGATAACTTGCTACACATATGGGATTGTCTCAGAGTTGATGCGATAAGCACAAGAGGCCATTAACAGACTTCAGTGCTTCATTTGACTGGCACACATGTTGATTCAATGTTTCAAGTGTTGGTCCAGTTGTCCTCAGATGAACTCAACTTGAAGTGCCATTTGTGGTGAAAGCAATAAGTTCTCAAATAATGATTTCAGGAACAAGCTTGAGTTTGTTCTGGTAGTCCCTAAAGTGACCAGAAACTACATCCACACTCAGCTGTCTAAATCGGAAAATGACGCTTTTTGTGTTACAACGACATGAACACAGTTTGATGTCCTTCCAAGATGAAACACCAAACAGAAAGTAAAATAGGTACATCTTTTCTTTCTTATGTTATTTTTATATAACATCTAGTAAGGATTCGGACAGACAGACCAGTTAGTTGTCAGATAAGCGAATTAAACCTCTGTTGTCTCCACCATGGTATTAGGTGTTTCACAATCAGATGGACAGTGAAGAAATTAACATATTTCTGCTTCTGCTGTTAGACAACTGGACAAAAGAAAGCTACTAGATCAATAAGCCCACAGTGATCAGTCCTTCTTTGATAGCTTTTTGTTGGCAAAGCAAAAAACTGTGATTTAGTTGACTCAACTTACTCTGAGAAGAATTAAAAAAGGCAAACAACTTCAGAATAGCAACTAGGAACAAGGGTGTTAACTGTGTTTTGTACCAACCTGAGGTGGTTGGCACTTACGGGTCCATCGTCTGCCCCCCCGCTGCTCGATGGCTCCAGGCTCTGAGGCATGGTCTTGTCATTACGGAAACCTTCAAACCTCTGTTGACAAAACAAAATGTCCCACACAAACAGTGATGGAAACATGGAAGGACGGACAGATGGAGAGACAAAAGGGTAAAATAAGAGAAGAGCCTTATGCAGGGACACAGAGACGCATGGATAGTCGCAGCTAAACACAAAAACATTAAGTTACTGCATCACAAGTGATTTTAAAGATTAGGACTTCAAATGGATCATATAGTAATGTGTTTTCAGCACATTTGGGAACAGTCACACCTGGTTTTTAAATATTTTAGAGGAACAGTGCCACATAATGAGTAGAAAAGGAAAACATCCTGTAAACCAGACATTTACAAACCATCAGAGCTCCTAATAAACACTGACAGCCGTTCTCTGGAGGGCCAACTCCAGCTTCCTCCCAAAACATCAACATTATTAAAGTGAAGTATTGATTTTGTTTGTGTCTGCTCCAACAGACAGTAACCGAGCAGGACTGTGCGTCCAGCTCATAATCACACCCTGAGGCATGAGGGAGGATAAAGAGGGAGCAGCTGAAGAGCAAAAAGCAACGTCTGCACTCATTCCTTTCAAAAAACCACCTTCCAAACATCTCCACCAGCCAACACAGAACTCTTGAAACCTGTGAAGAAAAAAAAAAGACAAAAAAAAGACATGATGGGAGTGAGGAAACTGTGATGATTTTGGTGCAACAGCTGCAGCCATTTGATTAGAAGTCAGTTGGTGTGAGTATCATTGAATCAGGTTACATAAACGCACCAAGGCACTCACAAATATCTAACATATTGTTCATGAAATAAATAACACGTATAGCCAAGAATAGGTCGAAAACAATGGCCGCTCCATCAGCCAGGACCCTTCCCTTCCACATATTACTAAAGGCATGTAGATCAGGACATACTGAATCTGAACAACAGCCAATAAGTAAATAAGTAAATCGAGAATTAAGTTAAAAAGACTTCTTGTTGTTCCAGTTGTGGCACTTGTATTTAATAACCTACACTATAACAGACGCAGCTACTTCAGAATTGAAAGTTTGATTAAGGATTAAAATAAGTGTTTAATGTGTTTTTTAGAGGGTTAGAGGTGATGACAGTTTCACATACCATGAATATGACAAGCATAACACACAACTTTGCTAAACGGTGTATGTCTACATATATATCATTTGACATTAATGCATAAGGACACAGTTGTTTAACCGTTGGAGAAGTAGATTGTAAGAGAAATGGGTGTTTGAGATGAGTTTGGAAAAACACTTTCATCAACGTGAATTTATCTTTTTCAAAGCTAAGTAATAAAGTCAAGATGTAAGACTGGAAATGACACAACTCCTAACGCAAGCTTTCTCTGACTCACTTATCCCAGTAATCCACCTCTGGGTTGGAAAGACAGGCACTAAAAACCATCTATCACTTTCAAGCCGGCCCCAAGTGGGGAAATTGCTCTAATCTTACATGCGTGTAACTTTTTATATCCCAAAGCAGCACAATCACAGATGGTGTCAGACAATGAGAGGATAGCTTTGATCTAGCTTGTGAATGCATATAATGGGATGAAATGAAGCATTCACCTTCATCAGCTGGGACAACGACCAGAAAAGGTTGGTCCACAGGGGAAAGCTTGACAGACACAAATCCCTTCGTGTGATGCACCTTTGCTAAAAACCTGGCTGATGTGTTTGCAGCATCATATCAACTATGTGTTGGATTTGAGCGTGCTTTAAAAGACCGTAACACAGATTTTGACAACCGTGAACATCTTATGGCTGAGGAGTTGCTAATTAAAGTGTATCAACTCAAAATCTATACAAATGTGCACCTTTATATTGAAGCCGCATAGTAGAAACGAACTGAGTCCACTTGCGGGTGTAAAGGAAGAACCTGCATAAAGTGTCCTCATCAGACACCATGAGTAAGGCAGTTGCATTTGTTTGTATAGGAGTGTCACGATAAAACAGACTGAATGTAAATTTGTGATAATTTATTAACACAAAAATGATAGGTATGTAACAAAATAAATGACCCGCTAAAATGACAAAGTTATAAAGAAGTTTTGACCAACTTTATCCTACTACGTGTTGTCTTAGAGGCGGCAGCATTGACCCTGACCTCTCCCTACTGAGTGTGAGTGTGCGTGTGTGTGTGTGTGGGGCGTGATTCGTCTCTATTCAGGATATCCCTTCACCCATTGCCAGTAGGCGTTCTATTGTTAAGACACAGTCATAGGTTGAGCTGGGATCGCAATGCTCTCCATAAACTGATACTGCAGTGGCAATGTCCAAATGTAAATAAACAGATACTTATTATCTTTTACTGCAACACAGACTGAAACCCAGCATTCCATTTGAAAACGTATTGGTTATTTATATCATATTTCCAGCGCTATATCCAAGTCTATGACAAAAAGCTGTTTTTTGTATTATTGTTCTTTTATCATAAAAGCTGACGATAGTCGTTTCTAATGCACACTAGGGTTGGGACCCGAAACTCGGTTCCAGATGAGAACCGATAAGAAAATGCTGGGTACCGGGTACCCATACAAAATACACAATTTCGGTTCTGCTTAACGGTTCCTAAACGCGGTAGACCCTGTATTCCAGCGGGTCCGTCTGCTCCGCGGTGACCCGGTGGAATACAGGGCGGACCTGGAGAATCACAGAACGGCCGGTCGTCAGCGGGCCGTTGACGGCCGGCTCGATTCGCTGACGGCCGGCACCGCCCTTCATTTTTTTAAACGGCATCATGTAAGTTGCGCTGACGGCGACAGAGGTCCACAGTTGCCCCGCAGCGAGGCTCCCCCCGCCCTCCCGTAGACAGTTCACGAGCTCAGTCACTTCATAACACCAAAGATGGGTCGCGGTAAACGCTCTGAAGTGAGGCTCCACTACACTAAAAAAGAAAAAGACAAGGCACAGTGTAAAGCCTGTGAATAGCTTGCCACAGGCATAGCTCAGTTAAAATAAAGCACAGCTATTGTGCAATACATTTGTATTGCATGTATATTTTGTATTTGTAACAATTTCAGTTAAAGCTTAAAAGAATAAAGATATTTTTGTTATCTAAACGTTTGACCTCTTTCTTTTACAATTTTGGAATCGAAACGGGGAATCGATAAGAACCGGAATCGATAAGCAGAACCGGAATCAGAATAGATACATTTCAAACGATACCCATCCCTAATGCACACATACAATCATTTACTCTTCAGCCGCAGACACAGAAGTGCCTTACTGCACTGAGCCTTCAGGGTGTATAAGATTTTCAGTTAAATACAAAATAATTGAGTTTGACACTTACCCTCACCTGTGCATGTGCCCAGCGCACAACTAGCTTCTTAGACAAAGCTAGCTTCCCATTTAAACACTGGATGGCCCTCTCTGCCTCCTGCAGACAGACACACAGAGGAAAAGATGAAGGGGGAAAGGAAAGGAATAGTTTTTTTACCATTATGATTAAAAATCAGCCTTGATGACTGCACCCGAGTCCTTAAATAACTAGTCTTCACAATAGAGAGATGGCAATAATAGAGGATGATGATGATGTGCCACTCTGACTAACGAACCTGTGTGTCTCTGTTGTGTGTTTGAGAAGCAGTGTGACAAAGGCAGTTGTGTCTAATCAAATGAGTAAGTGGCTCTAATATAAATGAAGTACTTCTTCTGTATGTGCCTCAGTGTGTGTGAGCGTGTAAGATAAACACACATTTCCTATGTATGTTGGGAGGGCTTTATATCCCACTGATGGACACTATCAGTGGAACGAGATGCTTATCACATTCCCCAGGCTCACTCCAAAACAAATAAAGCCAGTGAAGCCAAGCGGCTCCTTCAAAGTGCGTTTTTTAGAGTAACGGTCCACTTCAGTTAGACACATATTCAGCTCCAGACTGCTAGGAGATGTCCAATAGCTTTCTCAGGACTTTGAGTAGGGGGATCATTATCACAATCGATAAAGGGAATTCCTTTTGATAAAATGTATTTGACTGAGTGGATTTGCACATTTTAACAAAGAAAGAATATGTAACAACGTGTAAGTGAAGAACCTTGACACAAATATGCAAACTGACATAATCTAGTCAAAGTCTCACTTGCCTTATTCATTGCCTCCACTTGCTGTTCAAATAAATGTTGAAAGAAAAAGTAAATCTGTTTACAGATCTGTTTCATATGGGTGTTGAGAGATGTATCCATAGATTTAGTCCCTAATTTTGCTCTCAAAGTGCACCAGATTGATGCATTTAACTTACATTTAAAAACAAATCTTCCCGGGGGAGCATGCCCCGGACCCCCCTAGAGGAGGTGAGGTCCACCACCTGCCCACACCCCCCGTTAAATTGTCTCACCCACATTGAGGATGCTTCCTACGCCCATGTTTTATTCCATGCGTCAAGTCAGGCAAATTGGGTCCAAATGTTATTGCATCAATGATCTGTTAATCAATAAATATATGCTGTAACTATTTTGCTCAAGGCAACTTAAGTGCTCAGGTAATGTGATTACTATATGAATAATGGTCCAAAATAACATTAAATGCATAGGATTTTTTGTTACAGTAAGTAACATACTTTCGTCGCCGGCCGGCCGATACATGCCGCGCATTAAGTGGGCCTGTCTGTCAATTTCCTCCCAGTCCGCCCCTGTACTGCGGCAAAATGTTAATGATATAGTTTAGATCAAATAAAGATTTTGCATGTACCTCTCTGGTGTTGAAGTTGACAAAGCAGTAGCCCCGTGGCTGTCCCTCCAAAGGCCCAGACTTATGAAACAGGAAGTCAAACTGCTTCACATGGCCAAACTTCTCCAACAATTTCACCAAGTGATACCTGCCAAGAGAAGAGTCACGTAAGAAATAGCAGAAAAAGGTCAAAGAAAAACAGAAAATAGGAAAGAGAGAACAAGCTTTTATTCAGTCAAATGTCAAATGACCATAATGATCAACATAATGCACATTATATATTTAAGCTAAACCCTATGAACCAGCCACCCACAGTACATCAGGTCTGCACTGTATTTGCCAGTCTGTGAATCTGTCAATGGGCTAATGAGAATGACAGCCTGTTCTCCCTGTCACCTTTTTAGCAGCAGGCCAGCTGGTGTGGCAGCGCAGTGACAGTAAATCTCTCATTGAGACAATGCTGAGGATACAGTAGCCGGACAATGAGGGAATAAAAAAGAGGAAGCCTCAAATCCCTCCTGAGCACAGGCTCGGCACAAACAACATCCACTCACTGTGTGGGACCGCAGGCCTGCGAGTGAACATAGATGTTTTGTCATTGAAGAGCTATGCAGCGTGTGAGAGGACTCGGAGGTTCGTGTGTAACGGACCACTGGCAGCCATGGGAAAAATATTTCCTCAGACAGAAAGAGCAATAAGTTCAGGGCCACCTGTTCACTATATACACTGTCTTATACCCAAGTGCTATTGAATGGTTACAACGCTAGCTGAGCAGTATGTGCTTTAAAATAGCATTACTTGTCAAAGCTCTTGCACATCAATGATAGTTATATGTGCAATATTCTTAATTTTGAGGCGGTAGAATAATGGATCGTCTGAGGCACATTCTTCCATCGGAAAGGCAACACCAACTATTCTTTCCATTAACGTTTAATCTGACATTATGATAACCAGTACCACAAGTTTTTTTATACTGATACAATATCAAAAACCCCAGCAAATGACCAGACCAGAAAATGTCAGATAGGCTCAATAAATGCTTTAAATGATTTATCAATCCTAAAAATTGTTGCGGATTAGGATTAATTGATTAATCATGTAATTCTGGTGTCTCTGACTGGGCAAACGCAGAAACAGTTCTTTAGAGAGCACACAGCACCTTCCTGGTTGATTAGTCATTCAAACGCCTTCGTCATGTTCTTGAGGTAACGAGAACTACTGGAGAGAAAAAAATCCTATAACTTGGTTGTTCGTTGGCAGAATCTGTTTATCAAATTGTATATTGCCTAATTGAGTTAATATGACTGATGGAGACAGTTCGTTTTGACACACATGATCATTCACTTAAGACATTTTGAACCCCGGTGCTTTCACTGACTGTGATGGCTCTGTATCCCTGCAGGTGATGACAGTGTGACAGTGAGCCAGCATGCACAATACTAGGACCCGGAGACTGAATTAGCTGTGATCAATTTGAACCTGTGCTTTTCCTACAGCCAAATAGCAACATGACATAGAGAAACAAAAAAGGGCACATGACAAACAAACAAAATAAATCAATGAACACCTATTTTTTTTAATTTATTTTGGTGCCTTTAACTTATGTAACTGTCCAGGCCTCACAGTGACCCCGGTGGGAGTGGAACTGATGCTCGAGCCTATTATTGTTTAGTCGTTTGTTATTTGTATTGCTGGAGGGTGGTTTGTTTGTTTTTCTGCGTGCGTGTGTGTGCAATTATGTGTATGACTGGGACTCAACGTGAGATACAGAGGGTGAACTGTGCGCTCAGCTACAGGTTGTTCTAATGCCCCCCCCCCCTTTATGACTCCCTAGAGGGCTTTAGGCAAAAGAGAATTTCTGCTTTTCCCAGACAACACCCTCCAAGCGTCCCATGTGAACGTGACTCCTTCAGCAGTAGTAATGTACATATAAATCCAACTTTAGAATATTACTTATAAAACTTTTTTGCATTTTTACACTCAAATAATTTTCCTTTGCACCTCTGGATCTCTGAAACACTGATTAGGAAAAAAGAGAGGCATTCATTTAAGTTGAATGCAATGTTGTGATGCAATACATACTGTCTTTTAAAAAAGCTACATAATGCAATGTTTGTACATATGTGTTAATATGTGACAGATCTGAGGGCTTACACTCGAAGAACACTTTTGGATGCTCACGAGCTGAACCACAATGGACCACTCCTCCTGGGGGCTGTTAAAACCACCGGAGGAAGAGGAGGAGAGGGGGAGGAAAGGGAGGGAAAGGTGGGGAGAGGGAGAGTAAAGTTCACAGAGGGGATGTTGACGGCAGGGTGAAAGGTGGAGGAAGAGGAGGAAAAGCCAAAAGAAGAGAGGAGCTGAGGAGCCAGGTAGGAGGTAAGAAGCAAAGAAAAGAAAGGACGGAAAAGGGGTGAGTGAGTCCAGTCCAGAAAAAGATAAGGGCAAAAGGTTCAGTCCAGAAAAGAGCAACTCAGCGGGTAAAAAGTTAAGACAGGACGAGGATGGGGGAACATTTTTTGGCAACCGAAATGTCCTCATAAAACATGGCTGCAATATGAGTAAGGTGAGGGTTATAGGTCTGAACAATCCTGGTTTAAAGCAACTTAAAACGTAACAAGAAGACCAGGGAACAGAATGGGAGCCGCTGATGGATTACCACTAATGAGAAGTTCTCTCTCCGAGCAGCTAAAAGCACAAAAACATGAATATGTGCTGAAAGCTCCAGTTATACTTGCTGTGTCTCCGCTCTGTGCGCTGACAAAGAAATCTGACTGGGTATGGGATGTAAAGAGACAGAAATGGAAGACTAAGAAAGTTCACAGGCTTGGAATAGATCGTTGCCCAGGTGTTCAAGCTATGAGCGCAAGAGGAGTTGTTTATCCTTCTAAGACTACTGAAACATTGGCTGTGTGCTTATATATGCTAACACACAAACAGCACAATTCCTTATTTTGACAAGGGACGCATTACACATGATGAAGGTGCCACCTTCCTACCTCATCAAATTGCGATAGATGTAATATTTAACCACAAACAACCAGTGCAGAAAAACATACTTATATTATTTCCTCATCAACTATGACATGTTGTGAAAAACTGCAATGTTTAACATCTTCACACTAACTGTTTCTGCTTCGCTATATAGAAAGAACATTATGTTAAAATTCAAGTCAAGATTAAATGACTGAGTAGCAACCAACTTTTAATACGCAATTTGATGTCTTTAATTACCACAAAGAAACTTCCAGGAGAAACAAAGTGTAATTAACTAATCATGGCCTCATATATTCATAATCAGCACCTTGCATTTTAGATCTGCATGCTTCCTCTGCACTGAGTTTTGGTTTGACTAAGCAGGACAAACACATGGGGCATTACGTATGCTACACAGGAGCTAATTAATCTTCCCAATCAGCACCAGGGGCCATGGGCATTTCTCCTGTTTTCCCTCCATACTGTGAAGTAGTTGGCTATTTAGGGAGAGCTAGAGCAGAGCAGGGAAAGGGGAAGGAAACGCCTGTCTAGACGCCCACCAGAGCTGCGGCCCATACATTCTCCAGCAGCCCCCACAGACGCACCCCTCACCCTGAACATCTACCTTCTTTTCTCCATCTCAATATATGTAAAGGGGCTCTCAACACTCACATTTTGCACATTCAGACACTCAGCTGCTCTCACAAATGAAACATATGATGTAGTGTAAATGAGACACATTAATAATAAATGTACACAGACACCTCAGTGTGTGGGAGCTTGCACCACTAACAGCTGCCACCCAAACATCAACTGTGTACACACACACACACACACACACACACACACACACACACACACACACACACACACACACACACACACACACACACACACACACACACACACACACACACACACACACACACACACACACACACACACACACACACACACACACACACAGAGAGAGTAAACAGGGCAGGTGAGTGAGGAATGATGGCTGCTCCTTAGCAGAGCAGGTCTCCACGCCTCGCTGCCTCTCTTTCACACACCAAGCCCTGTCTGCTCAGTCTCAGCCTGCGACACACACATACTACGCGACCAGTTAATCAATCATAAACGTGCACACAATGCATTGCCTCTCTATGAGGCAGAGCCAGGCAAGTTAAAAAGCAATGTCTCCAGTTCTTAACATGGACCGCCTTACACCTCAAATCCAAAACTGAGGTTGTTTTTTTTTAATTCAGCTGGTTTTTTTGTGGCCTTTCAGTGACATACAGATGTGTTTTCAACTCAAATAATGTATTTTAAAATGTGATGATAAGGTTGTTGTACTGTCTCACTTGTGGTTTCAGCTGTAATTTAATCTGAAGAAAGATACTTTACAAAAACGTTGGAAGAAAGTGGATGCCTGAATTTAACCAGGAGTGGATTCACTCACTCTGTAATTTTGGGATCTATGTTGCCGATCCACAAGCGGTTTCCATCATGGGCCGCACTCTCTGACATGATGGAGGCATTTTCCACTGTCTCTGCCGCAGACGTCATGGGTACTCTGTGGGAGGCAGGAAGAGAAGACAGACAGATTAGGATTGCAAAAAAAAGTCAGGGCTAATTTTTATGCATTATTTGTCAGATACTCAGCAGCCATTTCAGTTTTTAATTGGGAGACAGAAATGTTGCCTTACAGAGTAACTACAGTATCTATTCTATTCTATACTAACTATATATATATATATATATATATGGTACTCCATGATATACGCTGGTTAGGTCAAACTGATCAATTAACATAACGGAGTAATGTAGACAGTACATTGTGAATAACACAGTAAACAGGGTTATGCAATCTGATTAATTTTTTTCCAAAAAATAAGAAAGTAAATCATCACTCAGTTGAGTTAGATTGATGTATTTCCTTTTTGTGTATTTGATAGGCACACTGTTTCAAATTTAACCAACATGTTATATCGTAGCATTATTTTCAAAAAGTGCACTTGTTTTATTAAATATGAATTGTATATCTATAAATATCCTACAGGATTCATTTTGATAACAATTAGGAAATGTTGTAAGGTGACTTTATTGACAGTGTCAGGCAAACAGTTATACATAATAATACAAAGGAAACTCAAGGTTTCCACTTAGGAAACGACGACTTGCTAACATTACTAGCTAACGTTAGCTTAGCTAACCACAGGTTAATCGATTAACTACAAGTTATATTAGCGGTATAAGATTGAGGTAGTTCAAACCGATCGTGTAAGGTTACATTTATATCGTTAATACATGTGGTGAGATGTTGAAGATAAGCTAAATCTAACCACTAAACGGTTAATAGTCCGTTTAGGACGAGCAGTGGATTGCTAGAAGTTAGCTAGCTTAGATAGTATCAATTTACCTCGTCGATCTGTCAAACTTCCTCTTGGATGGCGACTCACTACTTAACCTTGATGTGCTACGGATCCCACCTTGGGAGGATTCAGTTACGTCAAAACGTAATACATATCATTTCAAGCTACTATTTATGTTTTCCTCCCATAAAACTGACCCTAGATTAGCTAACTCGAATGATAAACAGTCGCCTTGCTATCGTCTCACAACAAAGGCGCAGGGTGATGCTGTAGTTTGTTTAACTGTCTGTGGAGTCGAGAGGAGGCACTCGTTTTAGTGTTGGGAGTTTCTCGAAAATCTCCCCTCATAGTGGTTTGTACCTTCAGGCAGAAACCCCGCCCATTCGGTGTACCCTTTACAACATTTCAAACGCACAACCGCCTCAAACTGTTGGCGCATGATGATGACAACATAGATGTCATATGTGGTTTATCCCGAGCTAACATGCTTCTGTTAGAGCTGTGAACTTGAAAGTAAGTATGCTGTTTGGGGTAATTTAAAGTTATATGTCGGATTTTGCTGTGCGGTAATTAAACCAACGACCATTTTATATTTAGACTCTAAGTGGTTGAGGTTAATGTTGACTTGTTCCCGTGGTATGCACAGGAGAATGCTACAAGGACTATACGCACACCCCCATCACACCGACCTTCAAACCACATCACTTTACCCAGAGTTTATGCAACCAGTTAGTTATCTTAAATATATACGTAGGCCTACTACTTTTAATGACATTGTACCAACTGCTTTAATTGCGAAACAAACCGAGTACTGCTTGCGTGACTGAATGGCTAATATGGAGGTATGTCAGAGAGAGTACTGTTTTGGAATAATATCAGCAAAGCTGATGTTGCCCAATAATGCTCCTCCTCATACATGATGATAAAAAGGCAAGGTGCACTTTCATGTTCTGTATTAAGACACAGCAGGGACGCACAATGATCCAGTCAGTCAAGAATGAATATCTGTGTCCTCCTGTTTAAACACCTGTTCCTCAGTGTGTTTAATGTGAGGTTGATAGATTAACGCACAAGCTATAATGATCAATTAAAAAGTGATATATTCATATTCATTCATATAACTGGACAAAAATGGCAACATGACCATTGACTCCTGATGTTAATTAGCATTCTTGCAAACTGAAGGGTGTCCATCCTGTGTTTTGACACTGTTTTCTATTAATATGCTCTGTCCCTAGTTGAGACCATTATTATTCTGCATTTTCTGGCACTTGCTTGACTAAACAGTTATCAATAAAAAATATATACAAATAATTGAGAGCTTAATTGATATTTATACTAATCTTTAGTTGTATGCTCTATCTGCACAGTCTGTTTGAGGAGGCAGAACATTATCAGATACACTGCTGTATTATTCCTGCTCAAACTGTAAAGTGTGCAGAGGAGAGATCATGCGGGCTCACCAGCTGGTTTCTGCCACTGGAAGAAGGAGCGGTGTGTCTGCAGCTGCTGTGTGTGAAATCTACAGGATATGAGGCTACAGTATCCCACTGAACACCTGTGCTTCACTTTTTATGCCTGACTTCCTCTCTAAAGAGATCCGTCACCGTCCCACATCTGAGCCTATCTGCTCTGCCACAGTGCGTAGTTTTATCATATCAGCTTGTCAGGAAACCTGCCAGCCACCGATACCTGGTATGGGTTTGTATTGTAGGTGGTGGTCCACAGCCTAGCCTAAATATTGACTTTGGAATATGTTTGATTATGGTTAATATCTAGAGTCAATGTTTGATTGACACCAGGGGCTTGGGTGGGTGTGGCTTTAAAAACTAATGAGGACACTCAAATCGGTAATGATGTAAATGTAAGGCTGATTCCGACATGTTTTTTTTAAACGAAAAATCCCAAATGTATCTGTTACTGACAAGAGAGCATACATTTTCCATCACATCAAATACAAATAATTTGGTGTAATATTCCTGGAAGTGTGGAGGACATTTCTAATGGCATTGAGGGCACTATGTAAAGGTAGAAGTAAATAAAAACGATATTTGAAAAATAATCAGAACCTTTAATATTATTTCAATATCTTTTTCTGTGGGTGGGTTTTGGTAATGGTTGTTTGGACATAAGACTGGTGCTGAAAAGGTTTTCTTTTTATAAAACCTAATTGAGGTCAGTGAAGAAGATAAGCAATTAGCTGAAAATATGTATGCTTTTTCTGCAGAAAAAAATCCTCAGTAGTAGTATTATGCATATTTGAAAGTTCTTCTTACTTCTCGTCTTTATGCAACAGTTTGTTTCTCCTCACAGCTACGAGTTGTAAACACACACCAGACAATAGAATATGTCAATCAGGCTGCAGAGCACTGTGAGCTCTTCATAGCCACTGACTGTGAAAGACAGGCTTTAGTGTGTGTTTGTGTCTGTGGCCTCAGAGTTTGTCTGTGCCTGTGTGTACTCCGAGGTTCAGTGACACAGTTCACAGCCGAGAGCCAGTGTGCGAGGTGGGAGGTGGGTCTTCCACAGAAAAGGAGTGGCGGTCTCATAATGTTGTGATGTTTCTGAATGGGAGCTTCCTCTTCAGGAATGCTCCAACAACTGTGCATGTGTGTAGACTTAGTGCTGGCCCTTGTTAGGTGTAACTGCGTGTAATGTAGCCTGTACAGCTGAGTGAGTCAACAGCAGTGAATTTAACTTTGTATAAGAAGGAAAGTAGAAACAAATTGAATTAGCAATGTCTCTTCTCTATTAGGTGTTCAACTAACTTGTTATAAGGATAATAATTAATAATTAATTACATTTTTATTATAGCGCTTTTCCAGGTGCTCAAAGCGCTTTAAAAATACACATTACACATATCAGACATGTAACAGTCATTACTGTGGACAATATCCACAAGAGCAAATTCGGGGTGAAGTGTCTTGCCCAAGGACACAACGGCCTGACGCAGTGGCGGCGGAGGTGGGTTTCGAACTGTTGTTCCCCAACGCCCCTTGATCCGATGATCAACGCACTAGCCCACTGCGCCAAAAACTGACCCCAATTATAATTATTAAGTTATAATGTTATTGTTTACAACTGTGCTTTCCCTGTTATGATATGCCAAAATGGTTGCTGTGAATAAGATCTACTGGCAGATTAATTTATAATACTTTTATTTTTTTTATAGGGCAATATGTCTTTTCTTTTTTACATTTACATTTTCTATTGATTTTTTCTAAGTCTCAAATGTATGCTGTTATATTCTTTGACAGAGCCTACATAAATTAAGCTTTTTTAACTGTTCTCTAGAGACCTTTTATTTGAGTGTACTTGTTATTAATTTGACCTTTTTTTATATATAAATGAGACTTTAATGACAATTTATTTATTGTGTATTGTGTGTGAACTGTTTGCTGTACAGTGTATGGCGAGTGTTGTTTTATTTGCGAGTTCCAAAGACAACACATTACCTCACATCATCATCATCAGATAAATAACAGAAAGACACTATGGTACTGTCATTTCAGTACAGGATGAAGGCCTACCTCCTACTGGCTGATATGAGCTATTACTTCATGTTAATAAATATTACCAGAGCTGATTTAACCTGTCTGTGAAAAATGTTTCATACCGTCCAGTCAATGAAATGCTTAATTCAAACCGTTTCTTTCAGTTTCAGTCATGGCTATGCACCGCCTCAGTCTGCTGCGGCCTCTGCTCTGTCAGTCCCTGGTGGTCCGGTCTCCCCTCATGGTCACCTCCAGGGTCAGTGCACCACTTCTGTACCGCAACACCCCCACCTCCTACCCTGCTGCATGCACCAGGCTCTATGCCACCAAGAAGGCAAAAGGTCAGTGAGGAGATTTTCTGAGTTCACATGTGTTCAACTTCTGTGGATCTGTTGGCCAAAACTGGGTTACGTGACTAGATATTATCTATGTTAAATATCAGTTTCCACTCTTCCCTTACTGATCTGCTCCTTTCCCTCTCTTCATCTTCCAAGCCAAGGCAAAAGGCCAGTCAGCTAAAGTGAATATTAATTCAGCTCTGGTGGAAGACATCATCAGTCTGGATGAATTGCAGGGGGAGATGACCGCTGTTCTCAATGCGCTCAAAGATGACTTCACACGCAACCTCAGCATCCGAACCCAGTCAGGTATTCAGCTTATCTCCGTTACTATTTATTATCTCCGTCCGAAACTTTTTTAAGTCTCTCATGTTGTCAGTCTGCCTTTGTGTCCTTAGAAAACTGTTTCATTCTCAAACCTTACAGATGGCAGTATAAGTAGAGCAAGGAAGGTGTTGTCATACATTTTTTGGTTTTATTGAGTTGCTCTGCTTGTTATTTAATTGTATTCATAGGGTTAAAGAAGAAAACATGCTAGAACAAAAGAACAAAAGCAGTGAATTGTATATCAAACCACATACATATAGGTTGAAGTAGTATTTGTATATATTTTCAAGAAGAATCTTCAATCTGACAGTTATGTCTGTGATATCATCTCACTGTTGTCTGCGGTCCAATCAGAATGATAAAATGTTTACCTGGAGCAAAACCAATGTTTGATTCCAGTTTTTCTAAAGAATGTTTTTTAGTAACATCTTTCCAAAAAGTGGCTTTTCTTCAAGCTGTTTGTTACGTCCTCTGTCCTAGACCAGAGGTAATGTTGTATCAATCTGCCTGGATGGACTGCCATGACATCCATGAGGTTACAGACATCCATAAGACTTTCCATTTTATTTCTATAATGGTCGTTTAGGCAACACTACATGAATCACTAAGTAACATACACTGCTGAGGCCACACATGGGGCTACCATATTGTTTTACTATGAATTTGACAAGAAATACTTACATGCCCGCTCCCTGGGAGAATTTGACTTTGGGATGAAAGTCAGTAAGGCTTCCTGTGTGTTTGTATCTACCTGACAAAGCGCCCAAGGGCTGAAAGTGAGCCCCAGTGTGACCTTACCTTGACCCTAGGTTGACCTCTGTTTCCCCAACTACATCCTGGTCATGACCCTTTTGCCTCTGGGTTTGAACAAATGGGAGCTGGACTCAGAGGTGGGGGGTTATAATGGAAGCTCCCACAGGAGATGGCGGCATTTAGAATCAGACTTCAAAGTGTCTGAGCTTCTACTCCTGTTCCTCCTCAGAAGAAAGTGGGCTTTCTCTCCTACATTTGATTTATAGCATGCACAGTCTTTTTGACATTTACACAGCATTCTGGAAAATTAAACAACAGAAGCATAAACATAAGTATTCTGGTGAACACCACAATGTCTCTTCCTGTAAATATCCTCCACCTGTTTCATTGAGTTTTGATACATTTCCAATATGCTCATTTGTCATCATGTTCCCTTCATCATTCAGTGATTTATGGTTTATGGAGTCATTGTCAATCTTCAAACCCCTCCCTCTACATCTCCCCATGATTTACTCTTCTCTTTTGTTTTGCAATAATTCCCAGCTTTATTTTTTGGCCTCCACTTATATTATATCTTCAATCTTGTGTGTCATACTTGTGGATTTAATTGCTTCTTGACCAACAGGGAAACATTTGTTCATAGGTCTTTGTACCCCTCCCTTCCTGTCTTCAGCCCTCCTTGTTTCTCTTGTCATCTTGTCTCCTTCCCTCCTTCCCTCCGTCCCTCTGTCATCCTCGATCCATCTCTCTGTCCCCTCACTGCTGTCCTCAGCTCCATCCGTCCTCCTCCCTTCTGTCCAGCTGCACAGTAATCCAGGGAGGCAGCAGAACTTAGAGCTGACAGGAGAGATGAGATGGTGGAATGGAATGATGTCAGCTGAATGTGTGTGTGTGTGTGTGTGTTTGTTCCATCAACCTCTCATCTGGTTCTCATTAAGCTTATGAGTATGCATGTGTGTGTGGGTATGTGCTGTTTCAATGAATGCATAATGTGCATGTGTTTGTCTGTGTGTTGCAAAGGTGTAGCCAAGTCATAGACGTAGAGAGACGTAGAGAGAGATGATCAATGCTTGACCAACATGTTGTGGTCAGTCACAGATGGGTAACCCGGCCCAAAATCTTTTTCTGTTTCCAAGGAAATTCAGACGGAGACAGTTTGGACACAGTACTGCTGGAAAAATCATTGAAACATTTCATATACCAATTGTTTTTTAAGTTGAAGCTAAAAGTAGTGGAAGCTTCGAGAAATAGTTTACATTTTTAAGGAAATAAACATTCAGTCTTGCAGCGAGTTTGATAAGACCAACAATATCACACTTGTAACTGCACATGTTTTTTTTCCAATTTTATTTATACGATTTCAACCATATCAGGGCTCAACACTAACTTTTAAAAGTGGTTGCCAGGCTGGCAACCAGGCATCAGCTTTTGGTTGCCAAAACTGAAAATATGGTTGACATTTTTACGGTCACCTTATATTTTAAATAATTAAGATACTATACATCAACTTAATAATGAACATGTGACACAAAATAATGTTCAAATGCTTTACAATAAGTAATTAACACAATTATTTGAAACTTAAGTGGTAGTAAACTTGTCTACCCTCAATTGCTGGTATACTAAATACCAGTAGTGCAGCTGTTGTCATGTTCTTCACAGATCCACAAATGAATTGAACAAGTCACTAGTTTCTTGGTCATCCATTGTCTCCCTTTCAAATTTGGGTTTCCTTGACCTTTGTACTGATCCCCACCATATAATCTAGATCCATTGGCCCTTCAGCATTGAAGTTTTGGATTGGCCAGACTAATACATTTCTAATGTTAAATAAATGAAAACCATTCACAGCTAAGAATTAGATATTAATTATTAATGCTGTAAATTACTTTAATATGTCTAACTATATTTAAAATGCGTTGCCTTTTTATAGAAGTGATTATATTTGTATGCCAATATTTTCCTATGGTAAAGTTTTGTTTTGCACTTTTATTTTGGTAGTAATAAGATCGGGAATCTTATTGTGAAGGGACTTTTACCGGAAGTGAATGCACAACGGAGCAGAATGTAGATATATATTTCGCCTCCCAAGACTTTACACATGTCCTCTTTGCTTTTCGTTCGGGTTCATCTTGCGCTTTATTAGTTGAATCACTTTGAACATTCGTTGGAGATGTTGACGGGTTGGCCAAACTTTTTACCCCACAGTCAAACAACTTAATTTGCTTCGCCATTTGTTGTAAAACAAGCACACAGTGCACGCGAGTAAACGTGCATCGCTTTCTGGCTCCGTAATCACACCAATGCACGTGCAACTTAAAGGGGACCTATCATGCAAAATGCACTTTTGTACGTCTTTTATACATGAATGTGTCCCCGGTGTTCCAGGGAACTCACCAAGTGTCAGAAAACCCTCTCTATTTTCCTCCATACCCAAATCTCTAAAAAAAAGGGGCTGCAACGGATCTGATAGAGTGGCGAAGCCCCTCCCCTTCCGGTGGACCTCCATGGGACCTTGGCCGTTTCTCAATCGCGAGGAAACTGGCTTCCAAGCCAATATTTCAAGGACACTATGTCATCGAGTGCCGCCGAAGGACTGTTCTAATCTCCAGCATACTTGGAATTCCACCGAATTCCTTGGTTTGGGGGTAATTTCGAGGCTGCACATGGGTAGACTTTGCGTCCTTCAAATCCCCACAATGCTTTGCGCACGGACCAATTTCCCCAAATCTGTGGCGGAAAATGTAAGGCAGGGCCTCTCATATGACGCACACCTCCACACTTGCTAGCCTGTTCCACTCTTCGTTTTCCGAATGCCAGGAAGGATTCTTGCCTAGCTTCTGAAGGAAGTGACTCGAAAGACATGTGCTACCAAGCAAGCATCCTCGCGATTGAGAAACGGCCCCTATTTCGAAAAAATTATGTATTGAAGTCAATGGAGAGAGAAAGATTATCTTTCGATCCCGTTTGAATTGTGCCACGAATTACACATATGATGTTTGTCAATTTAAAATATAATTTTGTAAGTCAAAAAAAAAAAAATTATCGTAAAACTGTGAAGTAACACATTTGTTTGTGTGAAACGCTCAATACACCTCTGGTCTCCCACAACAACACACGTCACCAAGATGGCCGTCACTACTGTCTTGTCAACAAAACGATTGACTACCCTCACTATCACCACAATGAAACACGTACAGAAGAATGTCATGCAAAGCTGCCTGCCTGCCTTCCTTTGATTCTCTCTGAACTGCCTGGTCTTTTTAATGTTTAATGTCAACCATTTGTGCAGATAGCATGAAGTAGAAAAGATCGGCGATGTTAGCATTTCTCCCCCGGGCTTAAATTGTGTACTATAGAATGATCACACCGGTGACAGTACTCTTCAAAGGGTTCACGAAATATGACTACTACTCTTACTGTTTAACATTTTGGGTTACTTAATGTTACTTCATATTAAGGCTAATAAAAATGACAAGGCTGTAATGCTAACTAACGTGCTAGCTACTAGCTAGGTAGCTAACTTGATCCAGCCACTCCTGGTCCTTTCATCAGACGGGAAGCGAAATAACGAGCAAGACCCATTGCTGGTATGATAACAACCTGGTACTAAGCACACAGGCATTGTTAGCAGATTTAGACTTAAACCTTTTGTCTCCTGCAGCAGAAAGGTGAATAATCTTAGCAGTTCAAGTTTAGCCATTCATCACGGCGTTATTTATTATAGGCACACATCTCAAGAGGCTTGAGGACAGAGAGAGAAGGCGCGTGACTTCCAACGGTCTTATACCCCAGGTAGTGACATCACAATCATGTGGTACAGCCCTAACCAATGAACACAGTTAGTAGTCGCAGCTACTTACATAAACAATATATGGTACACAGTAATACATGGAGTCATACACTATACATGTCTGTATGTTATATCTCAACACTCCCACTTATGAATGATGTGCTTACTAGGGCTGAACGATATACCGTGTCATGGCGATAACCGCGGTATGCGCATGCGCGGTATTCACACCGCAGGGACGTGCGGTTTTATTCATTTTTTTTTTTTAAATGCTAACGCACTTTAGCACAGAATTCAAAATAAAGATACCCTTATTACTTATCGAAACTGCACATACAATATATCCGATTAAAGCTGAGACTCCACAGATTATTTAAGTATAGTATCTAAGCGATCCGATCTCGCAACAGGGGAGGCAAACACAGACATCACAACA